ACATTAGCCCTTTGTTCTATAGAGATAATGGTGACTGGATTTTCATTCTGTAATTCTATACAGGGTATTTTATTACACTGGAACCAGTATTTGCTTCTACAAGGAACCAGCTATAAGTAACCAGGGATATTTTAGTCTGTCACCTATTCAAGACATACAGTTTTCCCTCTTGGTAAGGTGGAGCCACAACATGTTTAACATTGGATATCCACCATGTCCAGAGAAACTTGAGAGGGGGAACCTTTTTTGACACAAAAGAATCCTGGACCATCCCAGAAATATATAATGACTGGTTCCTTCTTATATATCCAGTATTTGCTGCAAATGGCAACTAGCTGAATTACGGTTGCTGCGCTGCTTGTTTGCTTTGTTACCTCATCAGTCTTTGTATACAACAGTATTCTCTTCACATTATAGCAAGCCTGATTGCCAAATATGTTAGTTTATTTATCAAAGTCTTATACAGGCTTCTAGAGATGAAACCATACCTCTTGTGATCTTGCATATATTTTTGAAGATTCAACCAGTTAGTCTTCTATATATCTGTAATCAAATACCTAGGAATTTCTAAAGAAAGACTTCTTTGTACATTTCTATTTTGAAAGAAATTGCTCATGTATAGTATATATGTTAAAAGATCTGGCCCCGATTTCTCGAAACAAACTTAAGTCTGAGTTTTGACTTAAGTCAGAGTTTTTACTCAAATTTGAGAAAACACAGGAAAATGCATTTCCCAGAATAAACTGAAATCAATATTAAACTAAAACTTAGCAGACAATTTGACTTTGGTGGATAGATTACTTAAGTTTTTTGGGAATTTTTTATTTAAAAAATGCAGTCGAGTTAAAAATTTAGCTGTTTCAAATTGTCAAACTCAGTTTGAAATTTGAGTAAAAACTTAAGTTTGTTTCGAGAAATCAGGGCCAGGCTGCTAACAAAAGATTTGATTTTGTTGTATGTATTATATTATATGATGGTAAAGTACAACTTACAATGAAGAAAAAGCTTCCTAATGCTGGTATTGGTGGTAGTGAGGGTTGAAAGACTTTGTGCCAAAGAACCTGTCTTTACAAACTGTCTTTTTTGCTTCATGGCAGATTTTCAAGTTGCACAAACATATTTTAATCATTTGTTAATTGCCATTGACAAATATATTTTCATTCTTCTCATATAGACTTTCATCCTTCACATGTCGACTTCCTCCTTCACATGTCGACTTTCATCTGTCACATGTAGACTTTCATCTGTCACATGTAGACTTTCATCTTTCACATGTAGACTTTCATCTGTCACATGTAGACTTTCATCTGTCACATGTAGACTTTCATCTTTCACATGTAGACTTTCATCTGTCACATGTAGACTTTCATCTGTCACATGTAGACTTTCATCTGTCACATGTAGACTTTCATCCATCACATAAAACCGTCATCTGTCAACTGTAGACTTTCATCTTTCACACGTAGACTTTCATCTGTCACATGTAGACTTTCATCTTTCACATGTAGACTTTCATCTGTCACATGTAGACTTTCATCTTTCACATGTAGACTTTCATCCATCACATATACTTTCATCCTTCACATCGACCTTCATCCTTCACATATAGTCCTTAATTCTTCACATATAGACCCTCACCCTTCAGATGTAAACCTTTATCCTTCACGGATAGACCATCTGCCTGTACATATAGACATTTAGATTATAGCATGTGGAGCTCACATTGCCACAACACACCATCTTTGTGTTTCAACTAGAACTTATCACCATTTCATGGTGAATTTAGATATGTTGACAAGAAATGTGGGAACTGATGATATGATAGTGGAAGTAGAAAGATGATAAATATTTCTATATTAATTTGGAGCATGTAGATCAAACTCTGGTGAGTCCAACTAAGGGTGTTACATGCAGGCACCTTGACGCCCTGTTGTTGATTTACCTGGATATTGTTGGCCTTGATATTGACCATCCTCCTGTCTAAAGATGTACCCAACTCTAGGCTGTGTTGGCTGTCTGGCAGTTTTATTTTGCAGTTTACAATTCCTCACAATAAGTTTTGCACATGGAAGTTAATTTTTGGCAAGCGCTGTTTGAAGGACAAGGGACATAACTCTGGAAATATGTCACTAGGAATTTTACTACCATGTTTTCTGAGCGATTTGGTGTAATTTTAATGTTGCTGTTTCATGGAATCTTTTTTAATATACATAATAAATATTAATTCTGCATTTAATTGTCAGTGAAAAAATCTACGTGCAAATTTGATATGTTTTTACAGTTTTGAAGGAAACAGAGTCTGCAGATCCGTGATTTAGTTATAAAAAATAATGGTCAGTTCTATGATGATCCTTTAGTATCAATTTGAAATATATCAGAAATTATCTTGTAGATATATATGACTTAAGTCACTACCAGGTTTAAGATCAGTGTACACACTGTAACACTGACTGGTTGCAATAAAGATTCTTTTCAGAATTTTACATATTGAGACAATTTTCATAAAACAATTAATTGAATCATAGAAATGGCCCAGGATATCCAGGACTTGTAAAAGTTATATTCTCGTTATTCTTGTCTCTCATGGGGTACATGAGACCCATTCTACCTCAAGATTTTCAATAGGGCTTGATATATTGAGTGAATATTCACATTCACTATGACATTTGGTGATAAATTCTATACAATCCTGACTAAAGGTGAAGTGAGTCTTTAATGTGTAAATTCATAAATATTTCCCGTCGTCCATGGCAGTTTTTTTCTGAAAATATTATTTTTTCCCATTGCTCAGCAGTTTGAACATGTATGTTGAAATTTCTTATACAAGGTTTAACATATAAACATGATTTTGGCACGTTTTTTATCAAGCTACAGCCTTGACCTTGGAACATTTTATGAATGATCCCACCAAAAGCATTTCAATGCTGATTTTATGCTTGACGGCATTATTTCTTATATTTGTTGAGGTGAGCTTCAGACAAGGTGAACTTTAGACCTTTGTGGCTCAACTTTTTATTTACTATGATCATAGATAGTCTGACCCAGACGGGTTGGAAACATCAAGTCTAAAAAAGCAAGATTTATTTTATTCGTGCAGCTTGCAAAATTGTGCATAGAATACATAACTGTTATGAACACATTATATGTATTATAAATACACTGGACTCCCCGAACCACTAAGATTTATTACCTGTAATGCTGACTATATAGTATTCTGTGTTTTTCTTCTGCCGTCCTGAAGTTTCATTCCAAGGTGAAATGAAACATAGTTTTCCTGTCTCAATTTCCCTGCCTCATGTGATACGAAAATACTTTTTCACTTGCCCACCCAAAACAACACCAATGTCAGCTTGATATTCCTTCATCTAGTATTATTCAAAAATTGTTTCAGAAGCAAAGAGACTTGATCGACATCATAAACCAATTTATTGACTAATACCAAGTGATCTAAAATTACATATTTTAGAAAGCACGTCACACAATTAGTGAAAATGTGTTAGTCTAACGCCCTTACTGCTGTATGAAGTACCGGTGATCCATTTAGCTTTACAATTCATGAAGACTTGTAACAATGCCTGCTGAATTTTCTGTTTAATCTTTAATTGTTTGTCATATTTTATTATTTCCCATGATGTTATCATAACAAGGCTTTAGTTTTATATGTTGCTTTACAACAAGCGCTTACTCCGCTTACTCTTACTTGCTTAAAACTTACGCACATTTTTCCAGACAAAAACCATTTTGTTTGTGCAATTCTAATTTATTTTCAGTATATTTTTACCAAATTATTTCAATTTTTTCAACTTACATTTTTGAGGTCTCAGTTCTGTTCTATTTTAGCCTGATTCATATACCACTATTTAAGTATGATTCATAATATGTTACATATATACTTGAAAATTATTATTGTGTGCTATATATATATATATATATTATGTACTAGGTAATGTTTTATATCGTGTATAGAATCTGTATGTCTCTCCCGACAATTGTTTATTTATCTGGTCACAAATTGCTGTCCTGAAAAAGCTAACGACTGACACTTGATTGGCACAAGAAGTAACCCATTATTCATTTAAAGTTCACTCTGGGGTCACCTAATGTGACCCTATGGAAGGGTTTAGCAAATCTTTGTGGCGAACAAAACATTTGAGTGAGATTGATGTGGTCATGAGCGTGAGAAAACAGACAGCTACAATCTCTTGTTGATTTTTGTAAATCAACAGAGCACCTGCATCTGAAAAGGTAAATCTACATGTGTAGTGATGTTTAATTTCATATCTTCACTTACCAAGTTGTTTTCTCTTGGTCGTTCACATGAAATAATATGATGTCAATTTTTCACCTCCAGAACAAAAGGGTTCATGACAGTGTAACGTTTTACCTAAACTAATTTCTATCTACAAAATGCATCTTCTTGACTCATAACTTGGCCTATCTACAGTTGCATAAGGTATACTTAAAGGTTTTGTGTTGGTTTGTTGTTTAACGCCGCTCTCAACATTTTTCCTTATCCTGACTCATGCTCTTTTTGCTTGTCTTCTTCTTCTTGCGAACATAGTGGAACACTTGTATCTCCCTAATTGAAGCTCCCTTCAATTTAAAATCACTAATTAGTATTCACCACGAGTTACCTCCTTTCCACAAGCGCGGGAACGAGGGCGCCACCTCTACCCATGTGCCTCACTCTCTCCTTCTTCGCCCAGTGAGCTGGACGTGAGAGCGCCTGTGTCTCCCGACACACTATATCCTTTGAATTATATTTAGTTAGTTACCTCGTATAGACATCTATAGAGGTTTAGCTAGTATCCTTCAACGATTATATATTGATATTTAGTCGTTTTCTACAGTTTATTCACGGGACGCCGTGTTTGTTTCAGTGGATTACGTTGATGAAAATTCTGTACTATTGCAGATTACGTTTTTTATGCTGCTGCTGATCCGCCTTTAATATGATGTACGGCGCCATGTTTATTATATTCACATTGCAGTTGCGGTACTAATTTATCCAATTCTACCTTTTATTAATATTTACTTTGCGTTTGGCACGCACAGCAGATAGGTCGCGTATGCAGAGTCTAGTATGACTGATACACGGAACCCCTCGCCAGTCTACTGCTGTTGGCCGACTCCCCTCCCGTGTGGTGTTCCGCTAGAGTGGTGGAGAGGTGTGGGACGTAGTCCGCCATCTCCAAGAAGCATCCTGCTTCCCCAGACATCCCATCGTCGCAGCAGAAGACTAGAGGGTTTTTCTACTACATCTCAACAACCGAGACCGTTCCCATCGAAGTTTGGGCCTGTATGATGATCAGCCGGTCATCATACCGGATGTACATCAAAGATTGACCGATGTCGGCACAGATCAGCATGCAGCCTGATGTACCAACGCAGATATGCGATGATCGTCCTGAGGGTCCCATCATTACCAACACTCAACGCAGACGTCGCACACCCAGGGCAGCGTCGACCTCTGAGGGAAAATCAACGAAGTCTACTAGGACTTTCTCAACCGAGATTGTTCCAGCCGATGACCTGGACCTCTACGATGATCAGCTGATCATCATCCCCGACGTACGCCACAAGAAACGACCGGTGACAGCTACAACGACATCAGCAGAGATCACCATGCAGCCTGATGCCTCTACACTGATGTCGGACGATTTTCCGGTGGACCCCTCCATTAACACCGCAGATAAAGCACCGACGACCTCGTCGCAGACCATCCCAGAAGACATGATGCGACAAATTATGAACATCATGGAGGACCAATATCTGCGGTAGCAGGGTCCGAGCCTTCGCGAAGGCTCCAACGTAGACAGCACCCCAGAGGCACCCCCCGTCAACGTAGCAGCCAGGACGATGTCACCTTCGCGAAGGAAGTCACGGACCACCTTGACGAAGGACCTAGATGTACAGCCTTCGCGAAGGCCTTCGCGAAGGCGGAAAGGACCTAGATGTACAGCCTTCGCGAAGGCGGAAAGAACCTAGATGTACAGCCTTCGCGAAGGACTTCGCGAAGGCAGGATAGATCATCACCTTATGCGGTTTCATCCCTAGATGTGGACTCGGACCATCAGACATCACGGAAGCCTTCGCGAAGGTCATATCGTCGTTCCCCCGGACCGGACGCAGAGGAAGCTTCGCGAAGGCATGCGCGAAGGACACCTGAATCAGATCATCATCATCTAGAAGGACATCGAGGGACTATACAAGAGCTTCGCGAAACTATCAACGTTCCCCTCACAAGTCTCGAGAAGATCAACCCATAGACAAGTTGATCATCGATATCAAGTATAAGAACTACAATCGTATATTGGTTCTGTTGAATCCATGACGAGACGTATGTTCGCTGGCCTAAATAGATCTAGAACGATCAATTAGACACTTATCACCAGACTTCGTAACACGACTTCTGAATATGATAAGATGATCCATGCGGCCCTACTTAGGCAAGCGCTTCGCCGATCCCACATCCTGTTAAACACAGAGGCTGTTCACGAAGCAAGCGCTCATATATATATTTATATATATATATATATACTAATCGGGCTTTGACTCGACACCTTCGCGATGGTCGCGAAGGCTAAGTGGCTCCAAGTCTACTTCACCCAGAAGATCTAGAAGGGATACTTCGAGAACTTCGCGAAGTCTCCGGCGTTCACCGAGGAAGTCTCCTCCAAGGTTTCCATATACTAGCCACTCGTCATATATAGCTACTCGTCAGTCCGTTCAAGACGTCGCATAAGTTGATTATCAACTGTATGCCAGATGCCGTCTATAAGCCTACGCGAAGATAATTGCTCAGGCTATTTACAACACAGAACGTCGCTGTATTATTAGTCAACGACATTTCATAGATCTTCACAGAAATCAACTATTCCGTATAAATTGCTAATATACAATCCCGGACGACGATACGATTATCTACATGCGTGACCATTACGCATATCTGCAGACACAATTCAATATCGAAATTGAACAGCAGCCTTGTTACAGCGAGTATAACTCTTAATCGTCAAAGTTTCTGAGAAGAAATATGTACAACAAGTTCAACGTTAATTCTACAATTATGACGATACATTCATGTATACAGTCTACAAGCTCACAACTTGCAAGTTGTTTATACCCTTATATATAAGGAAGTCGGAATTATATTCAAAACTGAAATTACTTTCACGACAACCAGGAAAATAACCTACCCAGCATAAAATTACAGAGCGAGATATTTCGCGCCGGAGGTTTCGCGCGGTTACCATTAACCCTCGAAACACGTGGTCACTCGGATAACTTCGGGGAAGCTACGGTGAAGACCGACGTTTATGCTAATATCAACGACGACAAGAATTTATTCAAGGTGGGTTTTTTCCCGCTACACCGGTGACATCACAGCGCGGGTATTATACAGAATCAAAATGCCTTGTTCTGATTGGACCGCGAGGGACAACGACCTACACAGAGGTCGATCTCTATTCACAGTTCAAGACTTACGTCACAAGTGACAACTATATATCAGTGAACGAGCAAGCCTCATTACAGTCCAGTTAACCTGAACATTCATGATTAGACTGCCTTTCTTCAAGTTAGAGACCTCCCTGTCAAGTTTAAGACGAGGGATCGGCAGTCAGGCGATTTTACATAAAGTTCAACGAGGACAGACACACCTGGTTGTGCACCTACATCGTCAAGGACTTCGCAGCGAATTACCTAGACGAAGATACAAGTGGATCTAAATCCACAGCGTTTCAGACTACAGCTGAATTTCATCAAGCGACTAACACAACTAGATGGTTAGTAAACCTACTAAACTTCTGTTTGGAGAATAAAACGGAAATTTCACGCCCAACCTGGGGATATGAATATAGTGCTCCAACACCTCACAAGTGAGGTTTATGAACACGCCTGGATGACATACTTGGACCCCATGATACGATGATTCTATCAAGATGGCCAGCAAGAGCACTGTAAATTTATCTCCACCAAACCAAACAGGAGGAAAAAATGCAACAGATTATTTCCTCTATCATCAACTTACGCAGAGTGAAGTCTCATGTACTATATCTCCATTTGGATCAGAACTGTCATACTACGTGCATATGCGGATGGACCTATTCCGACCCTCCATGAGCTTAATACTCATGATATTATAGCGCTAACTTCTACAATTGTTCTACACAAATGTGATTGAAATAATGGAGGGTTTATTTCTGGAAATCCGATATGGTGGTTGCAAACCATTATCTGAGAGATATCACCACCGAGGACGTCTCAGGTATACACCAATTCGATCCCATGGTCCTCGCACAACAGCTGACAGTTCCTCGGAGAAGATAAGTCAATCTAACAGATTTTTACTTATCTTATAACAATACTAAATAGCTTCATGCTATATATAATTTACTTAAGTTCCTTTTATCATCACAGTACTATGATTATTACATCATACAATATATAAGTTAACAACTCTACAGAGTTTGTTATTATATATATTTACCTTAAGTTATTCATATCTTAAGAGTAATACTATGGTTACATGATAAATGCATTAGCTAACAAACTCTACAGAGTTTTTGGCTATTTTATACATAGCTTAAGTTAATTAAGCTAACAAACTCTCTGAGGAGTTTTACTATTATATAGGTAACTTAAGCTAATTATACCTTAAGCATGGTACTATACTCATATTATTAAAATATATTGGCTAACAAACTCTAAGGAGTTTTGCTATTATATAGGTAGCTTAAGCTTATTCATATCTTAAGCTTAGTACTATGTTTATATCATATAAGTAGATTAGCTAACAAACTCTAAAGAGTTTTTGCTATTTGGCTTAAAGTATCATCATATTTCTAAGCAATATGGTTATATTATAACATGTATTAGCTAACAAACTCTACAGAGTTTTAGCTATTATATATGTAACTTAAGCTTATTCATATCTTAAAGCAGTACTATGTTTATATCATATAGGTATATTAGCTATCAAAACTCTAAAGAGGGTTTTGCTATTATATATTTAAACTTAAGTTTCATCATATTTTAAGCTTTATGGTTACATTATAACATGTATTAGCTAACAAACTCTACGGAGTTCTTGCTATTATATATGTAGCTTAAGTTTTCCTTCATAAGCTCAATACTAGGTTTATATCATAGCTAACAAACTCTAAAGGGTTGTTTTAAGCTATTATACAATTAGCTTAAGTTTTCATCATATCTTAAGCAGTATGTTTACATTATAAAGGTATTAGCTAACAAAACTCGACGGAGTTTTGTTATTATATATATATAGCTTAAGTTTCATCATAACTTAAGCTCAGTACTATGTTTTTAACATAAAAAGTATATTAGTTAATAAACTCTAAGGAGTTTATTTTGCTATATACATTTAGCTTAAGTCTAATCTTATCTTAAGCTTAGTACTATGGTTACACTATAAACATATTAGCTAATAAACTCTACAGAGTTTTTTTGGCTATTATATATGTAGCTTAAGTTAATAATATCTTAAGCACAATACTATACTCATATTGTAAAATATATTAGCTAACAAACTCTGGGAGTTTTGCTATTATATATGTAGCTTAAGTTCATTATATCTTAAGCACACTACTATACTCATATTGTAAAATATATTAGCTAACAAACTCTACGGAGTTTTGCTATTATATATGTAGCTTAAGTTAATTATATCTTAAGCACACTACTATACTCATATTGTAAAATATATTAGCTAACAAAACCCTACAGAGTTTTGCTATATATATATGTAGCTTAAGTTAATTATATCTTAAGCTCAGTACTATACTAATATTATAAAATATATTAGCTAACAAACTCTACAGAGTTTGGCTATTATATATGTAGCTTAAGTTAATTATAGCTTAAGCACAGTACTATACTCATATTATAAAAATATATTAACTAACAAACTCTACAGAGTTTTTGCTATTATATATGTAGCTAAAGCTTATTCATATCTTAAGCTCAGCATTATATCTATATCATATAAGTA